CAGATAGGAGCCACAGAAAAAAAGGAGACAGTTTTATTTTCTCCCGTTGACCTAGCAACTTATAGATTCTTAACATTTTCTACTAATCACGTTTAAGACTATAGTTGGGCACATAAGAGCCCTCTTCTTAGATATTACCCGAATTTAGCCTTTAGTTAATTCATTTCCCCATTGGTCACTTCCCTTTGGGGTTGCAAATGATAATTAACGGTTATTGTCTCTCAGTGTGATTCTTATCACCGTTTGACCCTGGAAGCCTGGCATTATATACCAGGACTTCCAGGGCACGGGGGACAGAGAAGAGAAAAGAGAATGAAAGAACTAGACAGGTAAGAACTTGCGAGGAACAGACTGAGATGGGGAAGAACTAGATCGAAGAGCTAGACGAGAGTACTAGAGGAATGAGATGGAAGATGAGGAAGAGCCAGATGGGGAAGTACTAGCTGGGTAAGAACAAGATGAAAAGGACCTAGATGAGGCAGAGTTAAGATGAGAGAATTAAGATAGAACTTAGAGGGAGCAGTAGATAAATATAGAGAGAAATCAGGAAAGAAAGGAGCTAGACATAAGAACAGAACTGAAGCTGTGTATAAAGGATGTTATGCCAGAGGAATTAAAGCAAGTGGACTATAGAACTCGGTGTGCTGAGATACTATTTCCTGAAAATAGTCCTCGCCATTAGTAGTTCTCTCTCCTGAGCCCCTGGGATGTATAACATTAAGGCTGCTCTCCCTAATATTATACAAGAGAACTCACTTTGTAGACCAGGCTAGCTTGAACTCAGAGATCTACATGCCTCTACTTCTAGAGTGCTGGGATTAAAGGCATGCACTACCACTGCCAGGCACCTTCACAGATCTTAAAGGGACAATTTTCAGCTTCATATGGAAACACAAAAGCCAGGATAGCCCAAACAAACCTGAATAAGCTACTACATTCACCCCTGAGTTTTCAACAGGAATTTTCTGTGTTTTCCATAAAAGCACATTCAGCATGCTTCCCGGAAGACAAACTTGTTTCTGACTTAGTACAACCACAGCATCACCATCTGACAGCATCACCAGCTGACAGCACAGGATGGATTCAAAACTAGGCTGTTAGCGATGGGCTGACTGACCACTGACTTTCTGAGACACCTATTTCCTTTCTAAACTCTGAGTTACTGAATTGTCTTGCCCCAAGTCAACGTCGGTAATCATGTAATCTGGATATCTGACTGGCAGTAGTGGAGTTCTATGAGGGAAGGATAAAGATGGCTTTTTAGTGTTACTTCATTTGCAGAGTGATGAAAATGATTATCCAGTTTTCCAGTAAAGCTCTCCAGAGTGAGATACTGTCTCAAAAGTTTAGACTATTTCAAATAAGTGTAGAACAGAACATACAGCTGGAACTTCGCTTTTACCTTTAACTAGAGCTACTGGCACTAGTTATTTTGTACTAGCTACTTGCACTAGTTACTTGACTGAGCCATCCAGCTCCTCCACCTTGTCTTCTGTTCCCTACCTGATTGATCTCTTTGAGTTATGAGGCTTATTGCATTTTTCATTTCTGGTTTCATTTCAGTGTGTGTGTGTGTGTGTGTGTGTGTGTGTGTGTGTGTGTGTGTGTGTGTGTGTGTGTGTGTTTCTAACTACTTATTGAATTCGCTTTTCATATCCTACAGTGTCTTCATATCCTTCAGGCATTTGCTAGTGTTTTCTTGCCCATGAATCATTTTGTTCCTATCTGAGTTGCTTCACATGATTTCTATATTTTGACCACCTTGAATATGACTCTGGTTTTTGAGTTCTGTATATTGGATATCATTTAACATTCCCTCCTTGGGGGATACAGATATGGTTTATGCTTTGAGCCAAGAACGTTTTATCTTAATTTTTATTTGTTTTGGGAATGGTACCTGAGCATCAGAATTTAGAGTGTTGGTTGTCTTTTGCTGTGTGTAATTAACCCAGGAGGCTGGTATCCCAAAATGAGAAGTTAGGCAGGATAACTTGTGCCTGAAGGGGTCAGAACCCACGGTAGGGGTCAGATAGTGGGGTGCATCGTCCTCCTCGATCCAGTTCTGGTCTAGGCTGGCAGCAAGCATGTGGGGAGGTTGCGCAGAGCGGGTCCAGGGCAGCCTGACAGCTGGAGCTGTGTGGAAGGCAGCCTGAGACCGAGTGGGAAGGACGGGTCCATATGGGGTGGAGATACCTGTTACACAGAGGAGTTTAGGGAGGTGGGGGGAAGCCATCACAGGACTTGAGAAACTAAATAAGAAAAAGAGTCCGCGGTAAGCGGGTTTAGAGGAAACAGGTAACCAGAAGCGGAGGTGCATTGGGAAGGGCAGGAGGAGCTGAAGGGACAGGAAATTGCACCATTCTCTGTCGACACCAAGAGCCCCGTGATCCGGAACTGGTCTTCAGGACCTGAAAACTCCAGAGCCTGTGTTGCTGCGGGGGTGGGTTGGGGGCCTGGGAAAGTCACCACTATTTGATGAGGCTACTCAGAAGGACACAGCTCTCAAAATTCTGTGGTGGATATCTTTTCTTTGTTTGAGGTCCTATGAAGTGGGTCGTATCTTGTTTTGTTCACTTATCTTACTGTTCCCAGATATTGTTTTAAAATAATTCATGAAATAATCTCATAGAGCATTTGCATTATCTCTTGTTTGCAAACAGGGTTCTCTTTGTTATTGGGTCAATTACAAAGCTCCCGGAAATTAAACTCATCCATGCTTTCTAACTCCCCCGTTTTACCACTTGCCTAATCAAGAGAGCAGCCTTTGCCTTTGTTAGACCAAAATGAGCCATCTTAGAAATAAGACCAAAATGCTTTCACCCTAAAATTAAGGCCTAAGATTTCTCCTTTTAGGAATAGGCCATTAGTTGCTGAAACCAGTCAGTTCAGATTCCAGAAACCAGGAAGTGTAAAAGTACAGAGTCACAAGGTAGTCATGAGGTAATGACTGCCGGACTATGGAATGTCCTCTCCCTTTTTTCCAGGGTAACTGACCACAGAAATGTCCCCTGAGGGCAGCCAATGAGAAATGGTGGTGGGTAACCACTCCCTTAGAAGATTAAGCCATGATTTCTAGAAAGCCCCTAGAAGCGAGCCTACCCATACTAGCACCCCTAAATGATGTAACTGAAAGACCCTAACCCTTCAGGCTTACACCCCCAAGCCCCAGGAGAATACGGAACTAAAAAGAAAACTAGTTCCAAGGGCAACCTGACTCAGCCACTACTCAATCACCCCTGCCACAATGTAACAATGTAAAAAGATTTCTGTTAAGAGATGTGCTCAACTGTGACTGGGATAGTTGCAAGTGTTCCAGGAAGGGCTGTGACCTTTGTGTAAACTCCACTCCCGTCCTGATACGCCCCCTTGAGGTTTCGGGGGGGGGGGGGAATGTGCTCACTGACGTAACTGTACCCCCTCTGTGATCACTCTGTGACCAGACCATGATCTTGTGAAACGAAATTGTATGGGAATTGTAATCTTATGGCTTTTGTGGGTTTTTCCTTTAAAAGCCCTTATGGGGCTGCAGTAAGTTGCATCTCTTGCTCTTGGGAGCAGATTTTGCTTTTCTGTACAGAAGCCAATAAAATCCTCGTGCTGTTGCATCAACTGGACTGGAGTCTGGGTTCTTGGGGTGCCCAGTTGAGACCCTAAACTTTGGGGTCCAACAGTAACCTTGTGATTTTTCCCTTTAAAAACTGAGCTTGCAGACAGGCGGGCACTTCCTCCAGCCTCCATTGCGTTGGATATATTGGATGAAGTCCCTGCCTAGGCTTGTATTGCTTTTGGATATCCAGAATTAAACCTTGCTTTTGCATTCCAGCATGCTCATCTTTGGTGGTCTCTCTGGGGGTCGCGATCTGGGCACAACAGCCTCTGATAGTAGGCATCCTCAGACAGCTTTGTAGATAGTAATCACATAAGGAACCCGTGCAGATATGATTGAATTAGCAAATATATTTTATGGAGTGCTACAGATATGGTTGTAAACCTTCTCCTCCGCATTAATTTTCCATGTGGGATATATGCAGTCTGGGCTGTAAATACAGCATTCAGAAATGTGTCTTCATATGCTGTGTTCTTATGTCACACCTTAGGTCCAGGCAAGCCCTTACCTGCCTCTCAGAATGGGCCTTGCCCCTGAATCTAGGCATTCCTAGAGAGCTTTGTAGATAGTAATCACATGAGGAACCAGTGAGAAATGATTAAACAGAAAATGTTTTATACAATGCTAGAGATATGCTTCTAAGCATTAGGCAAACCTTTTGCTCCCCATTAATTTTCCATCTGAGACATATGCTTTCTAGAGGATGTAAATATAGCATTCAGAAATGTGTCTTCATATGCTGTGTCCTTATGTCACACCTTAGGCAAGTGCAGTATGCATGCTGTGAGCGTATATCAGGCCAAATTGCTTTATAGTTAGCAAACGCACTTTAAACAAAATTATAAAGCATCTTTTGAATATTAAAGCATCTTTTGAATATTTATGATCACTCATCTGTATCAGAAAAATGTCTCTTTCCTTGAAGAAAAGCATTCTGCCCATGCGCATGTGACCAAACTGTTTTTATTTTTTTTTATTTCAGGGTTTGTTGATATTCAGTGCTGTGACTGTGGACTTCTTGTAGGAGGAGTGGGAATGCCTCAACCCTGCTCACTGGGCTTTTGGCAGAGATCTCCTGTTGGAGAACTGCAGCAGTCTGGATTCTAAGGGTGAGAATAGTTTTCAGGAGTCTCCCTTGTTTCTGCTCAGGGTTCCTGGGAAAATTACTCTGCATGTGTGTGAGCTGTGTGTGAATGAGTCTCACACCTCACAGGGTAAAATGAAATCCTTAGAAAAAGAGACATTTTTCCTGATATTTTCTCTTTCCTGTTTTTTTCCTCTTGGCAGGTGTTAGCACCTTTAGTTTTTGCTCTTTGAAAAGTTCCAGGTGATTTCTGAAGAATCTCTTTCTCCTATGCAGTCTCACAAGGTCAGTTAGTCCTGCTTACCTGTGAATCAGAACAAAGAGCTTGGGATGGTGAAGAGAGAGGAGACAGTAGCAAAGGATTCAGGTGTGTTAGAGGGTTTGAGGAGGGGGTGAAGACATGGGGAAGGGTTCAAGTGACAGTAGAAAGAGGACATGAAGTTGGTTTTCCCACATTCTATTTCATTAGAAATTATTTTAGAGAAATCTACTGAGAATAATCTCAGGATTCTCTTATTGTAAGTGCTTGAAGACTCTGTATATAAGAATTAATACTCATAGACAAACTTAATTTTATTTGGTTTTCCGTGTGAGTGATGCTGTCCCTCTTCCATTCACATTGCTGGTTGTGTTTTTATACCAATATTAAGTGGTTTCATTACTATAATTTAATATGGTGTTTCATTAGAACCATTTAAGTGTTTTTGTTGGTCCTGAGCACAGAGTTTTTGAAGCATCTTGTAGTTCCATAAGGTTCTGTGCCTTTTAGGGTTAATTTCTTTATTTTCTAAAATAATGCCAGCAGAATTTTGAGAAGATTTGCTTAATATCTCTGCCAAGTACTAAACTCCATTTACATTGTCTTCCCTTTGATATCCCATTGTCTGTCTTCAACACTCCACCATTTGCATCACTACAATTTTTATATATTTTGAAATTACCACTGGGTTTGATCCTTCTCTCACTATTTTTGAAGTCTTTGTGGTTTCTCACAATTTTATATATCTTAGGAACTCCTGATTTTCTCCATTTACAGAAAAAAACTGCCTGTAAGATATTGGTACAAAGTATTTAGAATCTTTACAGAACATAATCATCATTTTCTATTTCTTTGCATGTTTGAATGAGAACATGCTATCAGAGAGTCAATGTTCACAGGTCTTTTTTGTATTCTTCTCTGTTCTATTTACTGTTGATGTCAGCATTCTTGGTTCTTGGAGAAGACACTTTAAACATTGATCTTTACTAGGTTTGAACACTTGTTCTATTTTTAAGACAGGGCCACACTGGAGAATACTTATTGCAGTTTGTGAAACTGGGTGTCTTCTGATGTTGAGTGGATCATTCTCTGTAGGGCTGGTAGGCATTATTGGTTTTCTGCACTGTTCAAGGTCATCTTGCTCAATGTGGACATCAAAGCTTCCCTGTATTATTGTCTATTTGCTTCATACAATTCTGTCATTGATTGCTTCATGTATTTGGAAACTTGTGAAATACATCCATGTTGATCACATATCTTTCTGGAAATGGACCATTTGATCATTTGTTAATAATCTTTTGTAGCTGGAAGTTTTTGTTTTGTATATTTATAGATTCGGCTTTTCCTGTTACCTACCATAATCATGACCAATCCTCTTTACAGAAAATCTTTAAGAAAAATTTCTTCACACTTAGCACTTTGTATCTCTATATTTGAAGTAAATACTTGTATACAAAGTATATATTTTGATTTTAGTGGTAGTATATATTATTATAATATATATAAGAGCTATATATTTTGATTTTAGGATTATCCTATTTCATGTTAGGTTTGAGGCATATTATACATATCATTTTGATAAATCACTGAAGGAAAATATAAACATATACTAATTTGTTATTTTCTGTATTGTTTTTCCTCTTTCTGCATATCTATTTCATTGATAGTTTGCAGTTTATTTCATTTCTTTATAAATGTGAGTAGTATCTTCTCTAGGTTTTCTCTTTTTCTTGTTTGGTTTTTCACAAAGCTGTACACTGACTTTCCTGGTGGCTTCAGTGAGTTTGATTCACAATGACACTGTGTCTGTGTCTTCCTTTTGCATTGTCTCTAGTGTTTGTTATTGTTTAACACCTTGAGTGTGGATACTGACTGGCTAGAGAGATCTCAGTGTACACTAGTGTACACATTTTCTTCAGTAAACATGTGGAGCATGTGCTATTTACATTTAGGCTATGTCAAAGCTTTTGTGCATTGTCACCTTTTTGGTTTATTTCTTGATTATAGTATTACTTGCTTTGCATTTTTTAAACTTCTTGGTAAAATTTGGGTATTTATGCATGTACTATGAAAGTGTAGGCAGTTTCTTCATACTTTCAGTTACTACCTTTTGTATGCAATTTTCCAATTGCACACAGTCAAATTTCACCAATTCATTGCTTTTCACTCTTTTATATGTGGATATTTACTTTTCCCTACAACACTAGTTTACGAGACTTTCTATTGTGTAACATAAGTTTTTGGCGTTTTGGTGAAATTCATTCGGTCACCGCAGGTTGGATTGGTTCTGGATCTGTGGCTCTTATTGCTTAGGTGTCTGTTCTTCTGCCGTCGCCATGGTGCTGTTGTTCCCGTGAGTCTGCAGTGTCTTCTGAAATCACAGCTGGGATGATTCAAGCTTTGCTCTGCACTCTTAGGGTCTTTGTAATTTCGTAATTTGTAAATAATGTAAATTTGTAGGCGTCTCCTGACTGTACCTGTGAAGTAAATCATTGTTACCTTGATTGACATGCATTTTGAGTTAATCATATGAATCTTTTAACACTGTCGTTTTCACAATAATGCATTCTGTTCCACATTCATGCCTGTTTTTCCCATCTTCCAGTGTCATCCTCCATTCCTTCAGTGAATTCAAGTTTCTATTTCACTTGTGTCTCTTGTGCTTGGTTAGATTTTTTTAAATCCTTTTTTCAAACTATTTTTTGATTGTTTATAGTTTAGTTTGGATTAATTAAATTGAAGTAAAACCAGATAGTATAAATCCTCTCTAATTGCTTGGTTATGTACATGAAAAAAAAGTTCTACCTCCAAATAGACATTGATATCTCCTTATAAGTTCTATTTGTATAAATTTTGTTCAGTTTTTATTATTAATAAATGTTGATATTCAGTGATTGCACAGTTTTCCTCTTGTCACCCTCTGTCCCATCCCTGGGTAGATTGTTGTCTTCCCAGTTGTCCTCATATTTCATGTATGATTTTGGGCAGGTTTTAGCCAGGTAGCCAGGCTGTAATATTTTGATAATTCTGATGGTCATGTTGTATGGCAGGAGAGTTTTTCACATGTCACCTCCCCATCCTCCAGCTCTTAAAATCTTTCACCTCCCCTTCTGTAATGTTATCTGCAATTTAGATGCAGAAATATGGAATTCCCATCATAGCCTGTTCTGTAGGCATTTAATTGTTCTCAGTATTTGAGGAGTTATGACTCTCTGAAATAACTGTTGTCCATTGAAAACAGAGTTTCTTAGACCCAGGCTGAAAGCAATACCAGGCTGTGGTGTGATCAGAGTCAGTAAAAGGCAGTTGGAATATTTGTACATGTAGCAGAATATCAGTAGTGGATTCTCTTTAGGGCCTGTGACCTTCACCATCATAGGCTTCTGGCCAGGTTATCTGTGCCATGCATGTATTTCCTCTATGGAGCCTGCTTCAAATCAAATCAGAAGGCCTTCTGTTACATAAAAAATAGTTTTGCTACTATGACACCAGTGGACATTTCTTGCCTGGCAGGTTGTGATTATAGCACACAGGATCCAAATCTGGGTATGGCCATTGATAACTCTGCCCCTTCTCGAGCCTGCATAGCAGTTTTGACACTATAAATGCTACCACCAGGGAGTCCAAGATATTTTTAGACACTGTGAGTGGTCTGCTGACTTCTCTGCATCCTCTTGTTGGTATGTTAAAAAAAAAACCAAAACAGTGATGTTGTATGTGTATTAGGTAGCTGTTTAAGAGTCCTATTTGATCTTAGTTTTTCATGGGTATTTCTACCTTTAAGTTATAAAATTCTATTTCTTATCTAAGATATCCCCTTTCTTTATTACTGTCCTATATTATCACCTTTAAAATTTTCTGTGTCTGAACTGTACCCACCGATGCAATGTGTTGACTGTGGAGGACTCCCTTCTCTGTGCTGATTAGAGCGAAATGGTTCCAGCTGTCTTTTTGTAGTGTCAGGTTTAGGATTGTGTCCCATTGTCTTTATTATGCTGAGATATATTCCTTTTGTTCTCACATTCTTCAGAGCTTTTATAGTGAGCAAATGTGATATTTAGGCCCAAGTCTTTTATGGATCTATTGACATCATCCTGTTGTTTCTCTTACCCACTCTACATGTTTGCTGTCTTACATTGATTAATTCATAGGTGTTGAAACAGTCTTGCATTCTTGCCATTAAATCAGCTTGCATTCTGTTTCCATGTAGCTTAGAGACAATCTCCATGTCTCTGTCCATCCTGACAACTTGTCTGTGATTTTCCTTTGCCTATATTTGTTTGGATTACCTGCTTCAGGTGTTGAGGTAACACTAGCTTTGTATGATGACTTTCTAGCATTCCAGTTCTTTGTGTATTATGTATGCAATGTTCTTCTTGTTGTATTAGTATAAGGTTTTTCTAAAGAAAAGGAGAATTCTGTGCTGAATCTGTCCAGTCCTCAGACACTGTTAGAGGAAACTCTGACTGCTTCAGTCTCAGCACTACTGAATGCCTTTTCTAGTTTTATAAATTAGAAGGGTGAATTGTTTGCTTGTTTCTAAAAGCTTGACCTTTTCTTCTTCACTTCTAATTTCTTTGCATGTGACCATCCACAGTACTCCATAAGGTAACTCTGATGTCATTGGCATACACTGCAATGTCCTCTTTTCAACTCTAGGTCTGTTACTTGGGGATTCATTCTTTTAGTTTGGATTAGGTGAAAAATGCTTCATCCATACTTTTTTCATTTCACAGAAACAAGTCTATTGCCTTGATTCATCGCATTGTCATCTGGTCTCTATTTCATTAATTTCTACACAACCTTTCTAGTATCTTTCTATATACTGTTTCAGATGGACTGTTCTTTAGCTTGTAAGCCCTCGGCCACATAGCTATGGGCAAATGTCTTTTATAACCAGAGTCTATTGCTGACAAAACTTCTCAGTGTATCTTTGTCACCTCACTTCTGTATCATTGTTATTCATGAGCTGCCAATCACCCTGACATTCTAACAAATTATCCTCAGTACTTCATGAATCCTGGCCCACTGTTCATTGATTTAAGTCTCCACAATAGCTAATTAAGGAAAAATAAACCGAGTGTTGCAGAGGTGGCTCATCAGTTAAGAGCACTTGTTGCTCTTGCAGTTTTCAGGTTCAGGTCCCTCTACATGCAAGGTGACTTAATTCAGGTCCAAAGGATCTAGTGCCCTCTTGTGGCCACTGCAGCTACTTCATGCATTAGGTACACAGACCTACCTGAAGGAAAATACCCATACAATTAAAGTTAAAATACATAAATCTATCTTTACTTTCTTTTATTTATTCTATATATCTTTTACATCATGTATCTTCATGTCATTCATTTCCCAGTCTCCTTGCATGTCCCCTGTGCCCTTCTATCCCCCAATAAAAGAAAATTTAAGAGAAAAAAGGAAAAATTTAAAATCTCATTATGAAAGCTGCAGTGTGACACAGTGAGTCACTCAGTAAAGGTCTTTGTCCATATATCTTTATTTGTAAGTGTTCATTGCAAATAACCATTGGTATGGTTCGAGGCCTCTAGTTTCTACTACAGTATCAATGCTGGACCCTCACTAGGACTCTTCTTGGGTATCCTGTTGTTGCCCTGTGTTGTGGAGATCCTGCAACTTTGGGTCTACAGGTGAGGTGGTGAGGTCCTGTCACATTCTCCAGCAGATCACTGATAGTGTAGGTGTTATGTTGGGCCAAATCATAGTTCTGGTTCTGGGCCTGGGTGGCTGTAGGGTTGAGCTACCCAGCTGTATCCTTTCCTCACCACGAGGGTGAGTTCTCCAGAACTGCCCCAGTTAATCCACCTCTTGCAGCAATTAATGAGTTCGGGGCTGGTTCTCTTGCTTTCATGCCCTTAAGGTCACCTCTCCCACCCCTACATTAGGGCCAGCTCTATTGTTTTTCCCAAGTGAAGTGCAGGGGCCACTCTTCTGAGTTCTGCATCTGGTGATCGGTAGTGAAAGCCTTCCTGTTCTTATGATCCCAGGACTAGCTCTTCTACCGGTCTCAGGCAGTGATGACTGGGAAGTAAGGAGGAGGGCATCTCTCCTCTGCCCATGCTATCACATATCTGAATAGTAATGGGGACAGTTCTCCTTTGCCCATAACATTGGGACTGAGTCTCCCTCACCTCCGACCACTGGGCAGCTCTGCTCTGCTGCCTAGGTGAGGGGCAGGGTCCATTTCCCGTGTGCTGCTGCTGGTAAGGAGGAGGGTCAGCTCTTGTCTGGTGCAGGTGGTAAAGGGCAAGGGTTAAGGGGGGCATCTCCCACCCACCCATACTGCCACATGCAAGATGAGAGTGGGAACAGCTCTTCCACATTTATAACTCCAGGGATGGCTCACCCACACCCCGTCCAACAAGATTGGCTCCATTGTGTTGCCAAGGCAAGGTGTAGGGCCTGCTCTCCTGAGTGTTGTAGCTGATGGGAGTTAGGGAAAGCTCTCTCATTCTTCTGATTACAGAGCCAGCTCTCCCATCTGCCTCAGGTATTGATAGACGAGGGTGGGAGAGGTAGAGGGCACCTCTTCCCTTCCCATGCTGCTACAAGACAGATGGCTGATGGGGACAGTTCTCCCATGCTCAACTTTGGGGCTGGCTTGGCCAAACCTGAGCTAACAGGGTTGGCTCTATTGTGCTGCCCTGGTGAGGTGCAGGGCCTGTTTTCCCAAGTGTTGCAGCTGATGTGGGTCAGGGAAGGCTCTCCCCCAGATCTTTTGACCACAGGGCCAGCTCTCCCACCTGTCCCAAGAGTTAAAGGGCAGCAGGGGAGGGCAACTCTCCCCCATCCATGCTGCCTCAAAACAGCCCTCTCTTGTTCATTACTTCAGGGCTGGCTCACCCATACCTCCACCAACAGTGTTGGCTCTATTGTGCTGCCCTGGTGAGGTGCAGGGCCTGCAGTCCCAAGTTTTATAGCTGGTGGGGTCAGGGACAGCTTTCTCACTCTTAGACCATGGAGCCAGCTCTCCCACTATAGCTACTTAAGGAATAATAAACCAAGTGCTGCAGAGGTGGCTCAGCAGTTAAGAGCACTTATTGTTCTGGCAGTTTCCACTTCCAGTTCCATGTAGATGGATGGTAACTTAACTTAGGTCCCAACATATCTGTTGCCCTCTAATGGCGCTCCAGGCACTTCATGCACAAGGTGCACAGACCTACCTGTAGGCAAACATCCATACACATAAAATTAAAATGCATAAATCTTAGGAAAGAAACAGTAAATGATCTAGAGGTATTACATAAGGATTCAAGATAACAGGACAGGAAAGAACATGGAGGTGTCACTGCTAATGTGAGAGTAAGTGTAAAGCCTGGATATGTATTTGAAGTGGCCAAATGGAAGAAAGTAATGTCAAGTCAATGATACATATTGGTTTTTAGTGTTTTGGGAATTTCATTCAAGTATATATCATGTTTGATCACATTCACTCCCTGTTCCTCAGTTCTAATTACCCACTCTCATAGTGCTTTCTCACATCTGCATATTCATATTTATTTAAAAATGTACTGAGTTCATGGTAGGTTAGCTGTATGTGCATGAGGCACATCTCTGAGAAAACTGACTCTGCCTCTTCCAAGGCTAAGAGTTGCCTATCATATCTCAGATAGTGGCATGATGAGCCATTTCACCCTTGTTGGGCTTTGAGCTTGGTTAGTCTTGAGCAGGTTTTGTTTGTTTGGTTTTTTTTTGGTATGGAGCTTCAGCTCCATGGAATCATTTCTGCAGTGACATTCATGTGACAGATATGGGAACCAGATCAGCTGTTCCTGTTCTGTAATTACATCACTACAGTGCCATGGTGACATGAACAAACAGTATCACAGCAGCAGGGGTCCATGGGGCATCCTGGGGAAAGTCACTGTTCAGCTGTGCAGTGGTGGGAACCACAGCAGGCACCCAGGCAACCTTGGAGCTTCCCAGGTCAGAGGAGCTGCAATACTGGGTAACAGGCAGGAACAGGACAAAGGGTGCGATCAGGTCTCTGCTGCTGCATGGAGTCTGATATCTGCTATGGATTTCTTAATCCTGTCAGTAAATTTTAGATCATATGAGCTTATTCTGATGTTTTCAAATCATCTTATAATTGCCAGGATATTTACAGAAGCATGATCTGGTAGAGAATTTGCATTATATATTGTCTGCAAACAGTTCTCTTTGCTATTGTGGCAATTGGAATTTAAATTCATTCATTTATTCTAACTCCCCTGTTTTACCATTTGCCAGTTCAAGAGGGTGGCTTTTCCCTGAGGCATCTAGGCATTCCCAGAGAGGTTTTTGATATAAGTCATATAAAGAGCCACTGCAGCTTTTTATTGAATCAGGAAGCATATTTTAGCAAGCTTTATGGCTATAGTTGTAAACACTAAGCTAACTATTTTCTCCAGGTAATCTTCCATCTGACAGTTATGCATGCTAAGATGCAAATACAGCATTCTGAAATGTGTTTTCATATATGTATACCTACTTCATATATTTCATATATTATAGCCTAGCATCAGGAAAAGTACAGTATGTATGTATGCTACCAGAGGATATCAGGCCACACTGCTTTTACAGTTGTAAGATGCACTGTAGGTCAGGACAAGTTAGAAAACATCTCACAAATAATTGTTATCACTCAGCTGTATGATTAAAAATTGACTCCATTGTATTTTGTCTCCATGTTCCAAGAAAAACACTCTTCCCATATCACATGACCAAATTGGCCTGGTGCTTTTTGGTTTTGGCTTTATTTTGTTGAATGTGTATATCATTCTTTTGCCATGTCTGGCTCAGATCTCACCATGTACACCAATCTGGTCCCCCAAGGGATCTGCCTGCCTCTACCTTCTGAGTGCTGGGATTAAAGCAGTGCAGGAACACAGATGGCTCAAACACTCACTTCTTTTGGTTTTAAATTTTCTTTTCTTTTTTTTTTTTTTTTTTTGTTTTTTTGAGACAGGGTTTCTCTGTAGTTTTGGAGCCTGTTCTGGAACTCACTTTGTAGACCAGGTTGGTCTCAAACTCACAGAGATCTGCCTATCTCTGCCTCCCAAGTGCTGGGATTAAAGGCATGTGCCACCACTGCCCAGCCCTTGTTTTTAATTTCATGATTTGTTGACAGGGCTATGACTGTGGTCTGCTCTCAGAAGGAGAGCAATGCTTGAACCCCTCAGCTGGCTTTGTACAGAGATTGGATGTGCCAGAATTGTAGCAGTCTGATATTTGTGTGTGAGAATAGTTTTCTTCCGGTCTCCAGTGCTCCTCCTTAGGATTCCAGGGGAAAGTACTCTGCAAGTATGTGAGCTGTGTGTGAATGAGCCTCACATCTCACAGAGGGAAGTGAAATCCTCAGAGGAGAAAAGTAAAAATATTATAGCTCTGAGTGAAAAGGCTTCTTCAGTGGAAGTGTTACAGCTCAGAGGGGGAAACTTTCCTCAATGCAAGTGTTACAGCTCTGCTTCCATGGGGAAGGTTTGCCTAATGCAAGTGTCACAGCTCTGAAAGGAAAGGTATCCTGATAGTTGGGAACCAAGGAAAACCACAGTCACATAGCACGACAGACCTGACATAAGAGATTTATTGCAAGGGAAAAACTCAAGAGAGTGTCTGCCTGTGCTTTGGTGAGAAGCCATAGAGAACTGAGGAAAAGACAGGAGTTATATAACATTTCTCAGGGGCATAGCATTCCACAGTGGAGCTCTCCATGTTGGAGAATTGGTGGGTTTTTAAGTCCTGAGCTTCAGCTTTTTACTCTGCAGGGCAGAGCTTAGTGCCATTATCTAGAGGGGCTGTGTCTAGCATTAAGGGCAGTTAGAGTGTTCTCAAGGTGGAGCCTGGTGGTTGCAGCTCCTCGGGGGTGGGCTCTGGCCACCTAAGCATCAATGGGCTTACAAAATGTGCTTTGCATATGTTCTTGGTGTTTGTTCTTTTGTCCTGCCAGACAAGTTCCAAGGCCAATCTACAGGTCACTCTCCAGATGTCAGCCTCTGCACCAGCTTCGAGGACACCAACCAGGTGAGGATTGGCAGGTGGATTTCACTCACACGCCTGCACATAAAAAACTCTGTTACCTCCTAACTATGGTTGACACCTTTACAGGATGGATAGAAGCTTTCCGTCTCCAGGGTAACAGCAGATGTGGTGGCCCAAATACTACTAGAACACATTATTCCTAGATTTGGCTTGCCACAGACTATACAAATGGACAATGGGCCAGCCTTCACTTCCGGGGTCATGGAGCATCCAGTGTCGGATGCTTTCAACATCTCCTAGAAGCTCCACATTCCCTGTCACCCACAATCCTAGGGAAAGGTTGAGAAGGCCAATGGATTCATCAAACAACAGCTCACCAAGCTCTCCATTGAACTCAGGTTATCAGGCCTGAGTTCTCCCCATTGCCCTTACCCACCCTGGGCCACCCCATGCTCTCCTATAGGCTTGAGCCCTTTTAAGCTCCTTTATGAAAGGCCCTTCCTCCTCAATCACCACCTCCTGGCCCAAACTCCCTCACTGGTGGGGTACCTCTCCTACCTCTCTTCTGAGGCCCCTTCTCCATTCACATGCTGACAGCCATCTCCCTGCCCCAACATCAACAGACCCAACTGCCCCTGTGCCTGTCCCACTCTCCCCAGAGGACAGAGTATTCCTCAAACAGCTAGCTTCTAAGTCTCTTGAGCCCTGATAAACAGGACCTTAGACTGTGATCTTTACCACCTCCTCAGCTGCCAAGCTCCTG